TACGGGCAAAGCAGTTCGGGTTTACAGTTAGTAATATTGTCTTTTTTGGTAATAATTTGGAATTTGTATTTCAGTTTCAATTTTATTATAGGTGTATTCTTAATTACAGAACTTTTCCACTATCCTAGATCGTATCCTCTATTATAGATCAGAGATGCAAGCTGACAGAAAACTTAAGTCATTTTTAGATTTAAATAATTTTAATAATTTAAATCATTTGATATTAAGTCATTTTTTAAAAGCTGGCTTAAGACATTTTCAAAGTCTTTTTCAAAATGACTTGTAATTTAAATGTTTATTCCGAAATAGAAAAAGATTTAAGCCTTTTTAGATACTTAGTCATTAAAAAGATTTAAGGCTTTTTATAAAAGACTTAACACTGGTATCAGGTCTAATGGCCGACTCTGACGACTCGTGTACTTGACAAAAATTTGTTATTGGCATATATGTATGTACCTGCCATGTTGTGTGAGTGGTTTACCTGTGCAATTATTTGTCACTCTTCGCGCCGAGTGAGCGCAAAGCTTGTTGTTAAAAGAGTGGTGGGAGTCCGCCTTATGGAGAGATCAAGTTAAAGTAGCGGAGGAAATGGAGACAGATTCTCCAGCCTCCACCTTTTTGAGCAAATAATAAATTACGGGTACCTCAGCTAGAAATAAGCTACTCGATTGTGAAGGGAACTTCAACAAACACCAACCGTGGAAGGGGTTTGGCCCTTGTATACCTCGGGTTTCATCCAGACGAGAAATCTCGTCTCGATGAAACCCTATCCTAGGCAATTTCTCGTCTCGTCTCGATCATCGAGACGAAATATTAACAAACTCTCGTCTCGATGTTTTCCCGAAGTCAATTTCTCCATCTCGTTTCGAGATTCTCAAAATTTCGAGAGTTATAACATGATTTATAACATGATTTAGCCGACCATACCAATCATGTTATAAAGTCTGCACCAAAAGATAGGGTAGATTTTTTCTGTTAAAAAAATATGTTGTAGAATATAGAGCTATTATAGGTATGGTATGAACTAAAAGCCATGCGTAACAAAAAAAACGCAGACTTTGGCCCAAAATCCCAAAAATAAAGATATATTGTTTTAAAAAGCGAAAATCAAAACGATTCCGTTATTTTTTAATTTAGTCTTTTATCCATATGGGTTTAAAATTTACCTAGCTACCTACGAAAGTTTAAAATGTTTACTTCGTTGTGCAGCAAACAGATTTTTGTTTACTCGAAACAGTCTTTTATTGAAAAACTTATTTTCTTCGACATTACTTAAATTCCTTTAACTCAATAGGAGTTAAGCTTGATTTTCATGCATCCGTTGTCCGACGATACGTTGATACGATATTAATTTCATTGGTTGTATTTAAAGGCTTCGATTGGTCAACTGTTTCTAACCAACCGAAGTCTTTAAATTCAACCAATTAAATTAATATCGTATCATCGTATCGTCGGACAACGGATGCATGAAAATCTAGCTTTAATAGTGAAATTTATACAAAAATGGTGCCATAAGAACAAGAATATATTATATTTACGGCATTTCTTTATTGTGAAAAGACCCACTGATCGAACAGTTTTGGGGATGTTATCTTTTGATTATTTGTAATAATTGTAAATAAAGTAATGTAAATTAGCATTGTACAAGAAAATATTTTCCAACATAGTTTTTATATCCATTTTTCTAGCCTTTTATGAGCTGTTGTGTTATTGCAGCATCTAAAGTATTTCAAGATCGAGAAAGCTCGAAAAAATTTCTCGATCTCGAAAAATCTCGAAGTCATTTTCTCGATCTCGTCTCGAAAAAAAATTCTCAGTCTCGTCTAGATCTCGTCTCAAAATCGAGACGAGACGAGACGAGAAATCTCGAATTTCGAGAATCTCGTGAAACCCTACCCTCGGAAGAAAAACATCTGTTGTCAGAGGAGGATGGGAAATACCCTTTCCCAGTACACTAGGAAAATCATCATGTATGATGGGTTTTAGACTGTATAATGAGTTATAAACAAACGAAGGGGGACACAATAGGTATTTAAGATCGTAGTGATTAAACCTCCCCATCACTCATTCTATATTCTACAACTAAATACTCGGCCAACTGAAAATGGCCGGCGCATAACCTAACGCTACAACCGTTACCTTAAATTAGCAGTTTACGTATTTTTTAAAAAATTCTCGGCTACACTTTTCTTATAATAAAATAATTAATTGATATTTAATTTCTTCAAATCAGAATCTTTATGCTGCAACTTTTTTGCTTCTATATGAAATAAATTAATATTTCTTAGGTGTCCATTTTACTGTAGGTATACTGTTTTCAATGTAATTGTTACTACTGCTAGATAAAAAAAATATCAAAAATGTAGAAAATTAAATATTTCATGTTTAGATAAAAATAGGAAAGTATTTCATTCTTCTCATTTGCATAAAGTATTTTTATTATTATTATTCTCGTCTCCAAAGATGTGTATAAAATTATCCATGTTTTCAAGTTCGGATAAAAGTTAAAAATTCACCTTGATGGCTTAATGAACAACACAAATTGGTTGTAAGTATAATAAGAAAATTTATACCAAAGGAATTTAATTTGAATTCATATTTTCGTTTATTATATAAGGGAGAATATTTCTTTTTGAACTACTGAAATCAAAAGCGGGTTGGTTTTCAAAGAGTTTCTTTCTCATTAATATTATGTAAATTAAGACCTTTCAAATCTGTTCAAAGAGGGATACTCGTAAATTGCTAAATAAAGAATTGATATAAGTTTGAATATTGAATTAATATTAGGTATTTATTTTTATACTGGTGAATTTCTTATGGACGATAATTAATATATTATATTAATAAAGGTAAATAATAAAAATATAGCACAAATAAATAATAAAAATGTAGCAAAATAAAACACAATACACCACAAAAAAACACAGTTCACCACAATTCGCTAACTATGCTAGCCATCATCAGCGGATGATTAAACAGCAGTGATATCAGCATGAATCCGCAGCAGAGGTATAGATATTTTTTATATAAAAAGTGTTTCAATATAGTAGTGATTTTTTCTATAGAGAAAATATTAAAATATGTAGACACACACACAGAAGATTCTTTGCAAGAATTTTTAACATGTAATCATGGTTCTGTTACAGTTTTTTTAATTATATTAAAATTAATTATATTAAAAGATATCACATAAATGAAAACAGAAATTTCGATAATATGAATCAGCAGTAGGTATTTTGGTAAATTATGCATTATATTTAAATTCGTTCAAAGACATTCCTTTCAACACACATAATTATCAATGCAAATTAATTCAAAGGAATAAATCATTGATAATTATTAATGGCTCATATTAAATATTACATAATTTATAAGAAAAATTAATTACCATTTATGATCTTCATTCATAAAATAATGTACCTAATAGAATAGAATATGAAAAGAAGAATTTATTAACCTAGACAACAAACAACATATAAAGTGTTAAGTGGTTTTAATGATACAACTCGATACAATTATTAGGAAAGCCTTTAATTATATTAGTGATTTAAAATTTTATATATTCTATATTTACAAGAATTGTTAATTTAGAGTTGCTAAAATGAGAAGTAAAAAATATAGGATGATAGGTTAAAAAACTGTGGCTCTTGACATTTTGTCAAGAAATTACTTAAATGCTATGCGTTTGATAGTCTTCATTACTTTCTTCAAAATTATTTATTCACCAAACTTGGTAAAATAAAACAAACCATTTTCTACAAAACGCTTTATTTCATAACATAACAGTAAGTTAACATAAGAAAGCTAAAAATGTTTTTCGGTTATATAATTGTACGTAAATATTTCTTTTCTGTATGAACCAGTGGGAGTAGAAAAAGACACAAAAGTAGCAATAGATACAAAAAGAAAACTTTTTCAGTAAGTGAGAGAACAGAAATTCAAAAACGGTACAGAACTTAAATCGGCATATATTAGGTGTAAAGTAGCCAATTAGTCACCGATCGCCAATTATTGACCGATTTTGCCTTTATATTGTTTAAATAAGAATATTAAAACATTCATAAACAATTCAATATCCCTATCTCATTTTTACATATTTAAGGCTTTTATTTTTTAAATAATTTTTATATTTAGTTTTATTAAATCAGCCGCTTTTTAATATGAATCATAGGGACGCGGGAAATCGGCCCATTTAATTGCTTGTAGGTGTCGAAGGTGTTAAGATCGTGCTCTTATAGTTGATGGAAAATACAATTAGGGTAAGATTACTTTTGATGTTTCTACACTTTTTTTTAAATATTTTGTATACCTAGTTTATATAAAATAGTTTGTGGTCACGATTTGGATCGATTTAACCCCACAAAATCCAATTATTGTTTTATTGCAATAGTATTTGCAATTACTCTTTTACCTAAACGTTCTACTTTTCTTTTGCCTTTTTTATTGAAAAATAAACTAATAATACAGTAAATTACACATGGGCCAAATAATGACCATAGAAATATTTAGTTTCCTGTTTTATATTCACCAGTGTAGTAATAAGGTAGTACCTATTATTTACATAATCACTTTAACTGTGTGCGGGCAATAATTGGATTCCCTTATTTTCACTATTTAAATATCTTAAACTTTTCACTGGTCAATAATTGGCGAAATAATAAAGCTTAAATTTACGCGGAAAAAACCTACCTACTGAAATAAAGTTGCATCATCGGCTTAAGCAGTCAGTAATTGGCTAGTTTACCTTATACCTAGTTATAAACCATGATCTACGATAAGATATTTTCAAAAACTAAAAGGACCAGGCTAAAGATCTCCACTTATAATATGTTATAAATAAAAAAAAAATGGATAGAAGTTATGCATGTATTACCTCAGGAAACATTATCATTAAAATTTAAAAAAAATAGTAGGTATATACAATATTTTTTTTTTTAAAATGTAATTTAGATTATCTTTTACAGTTATTAAGTAGTGGATATTATTACATATCTCCTTACCTTATGCATCGGAGTGCCCCAGAAATCGTTGAAGAACAAGTTGGAGATCGGCGTATGAGGCCTCAAATCTCGATTCTCTTTAATGGCACTGATATCGTCAAAGACAAAATCGCAATAACAGCTATTATAGTAGCATGCCACGCAAGTGAGCACTATAACAGCGCACAGTGCTTTGTTCAGAGTCATTTTCCCGCCTTTTAAATTATATCAGTCTGTATAAAAACCTCCAATTATATTTTAAAATACCTAGCAGGTTATTTTAATACAGCCACGTAACCAAAATCATCGTCCTTACAAGAACGCGAAGAAATCGCAAGTTAAAAATTGTTGCAAACTCGCCGAATTCATCAAAACATAACCTAAATTGTTGAAAACAACTAGTTCTGGACCGGTTTCATAGTTTCATGGGGTTGTCACTGCAGCATCTTCAAGGAGAATATTTCTTCGAGAACCTCACTATGTAGTTGCGTGAAGCGAACGACACAAGTATGTACGTATATCGGAGCGAAGACGCGACCTGAGAGTTGGGCGCTTGAACCGACACTGATTCCACGAATCGAGAGGCGGTCGACCAACTGGTCCGCGTTCCCGTTGGGGTCCGTCGGGTTAACGTCTGCGCCGACCCGTCACGTGGATTAGTGCGGCTGCAAATGTAGCTGTAAAGGGCCCCCTTTTAATGCCAGGCTGATGGTTATTGTCGATAGCCTTTTAGAATTAGCCCTTCGCCTTCCAGTGAGGCGCCCGAAAATCGTATCGAGGGAGAGGAGAAATACTTTCCAGTTTTTTAATATTATTCGTCAGGGGTGTCTCGCTTTGGTGAAAAATGTACATGTACTGCCAAGCGAATGCCAGTGGCTCCGAAGAAGACTGGCTATGTGGGCCATATAATTCGACTGATGCCAACGGCTGTCAGGGACTGCCAAGAAAATATACATATATTTTATATCAATTTAACTTTTAATTATGTAATCAAAGGCGTAGTAATCATAGTCGGCGCCGGGCTGACTAACTGGAATTTAAATTTCCCTCTAGAGATTCAGGTGGTAGTTCTGCTGTAAAATATGTCAAGTTGCCACATTTGTTTATTTATTTCCTGACATTGTAGTTCGTTTTGACTAATTGTTTGTATAAGTAGTGTTGTGGTACTTTAAGCCAAGCTTAAGCTAAAACAAGTTTACTAGCTGACCTTGCAGTTGAACATTTTTCTTTTTAGAACCTCTTTTTAGTACGAAGTGTACAAGATAACTTAAAAACTGTAAAATAATCATCGCAATTTTATTAGAATATTTTGAGCCGGAAATTTGTAGTAATAGCACAGATTACAGATTATATGTTATCTATGGTAATAACCCTTTATGTTTCTTAAGGGCTGTTAAGAAGTTGAGTTTTATTGATATAAATAATGACCGTTTATATATTTATAATTAATTTATTTATGTTTCCTAAAATACACTACTCAAAACAATTATCGCATTATTTGGGGGGGGGGATAAAAGTAATTATTACACATTTCTAAATGAAGCATGCATTTTTATTGCAGGAATATATTTTAACTTCTATAGGGACGCTCAAAAGTGGTAGTGATTCGAGATGATTTTTTTTTCATTAGAACACCCTGTATATTATTGCTTTGTCAGATGGAGAATTAAAAAAATAATATTTTTTGAATCAGACTGATATTGATTCAGACTGATATTGATGCACAAAGCAAGGAATAATGCGCAGCAAAGGAATAACATATACTGAATGCGTCTCAAAAGAGGCCCCACCCATTATTTTTTTTTTTCAAATAAAAAAAAAAATTTGGTATATAAGTATATGACATAAATTAGGATTGATTAAAGTATTCTATTTTCGATCACTTCCTGCTTCAGCGAAAATGACTAACACTTGTGATTTTTAAATGGCACTTAGTATTTAGTAATAGCTGCCCCAACGCTCCCTGTTCATGAAAAAAATTCGGAAAAATCCACCTACAAACCAAACTACAACTCTCTTCAATAGTGGCTTCAGTTATGGAGAGAAATGCGAGCGCACCTATAGTCCTGGTTCGAAAATAACTATTGCCAGATACTGGGTACCAATCTAAACCGGAAAATATAGTCAACATTGAATAGGATACGCTCTGGCCATGGAAGATGTGCGGATTCCCTTTATAAGTGGGGTAAAATACCTTTCCCAAAATGTGATTGCGGATCCCCTCACCAAACCCATCCACCACATAACTACAATCTACCAGTGTGCAACCCACGCGCTTATGGTGAAGTCTGGGGGGACTTTCTGGGGGCTTCTCCACCAGCTTTGGAATAGATAGGGTATCTAGATGTCAATATATAGTATTCGTAAATACGTTTTTTATGTTGTCTTTTTATCATATACTTGTTTTCTTATATTTACATTGTAATGTTTTCAATTACATTGTAGTTTATTACTATACAGGGTTGTTCACCAAATACGACACGGAGTATTGTAGCTAAACCACTAGATTTTTACAAATTGTAAGTTTTGGGTTCGTTGAAGGACTCTTAGAGCTACAATTTAAAAATATTTTTACAAGATACAGAGTGTCCCAAATATATAAAAAATATCAAAGTTATATTTTTTTAAGTGGAACACCCTATATATTATTACATTTTTAGTTTCTACGATTAAAATAAAGGTAAATTTGATTAAGGTTTATTACACTTAAACCTTGCCGTTTTTGAAATATTTTCAATTTTGTGAAATTGCAGTATAAATTTTAAGGCTTCATTTCTCCAAGGGTATCAAAGTTTTTAATACTAAATATTTACTGAAGTTTATCTATTGATCAGTTATTGTGTTGCAATAATAAAAACTTTACTACCTTATACAGAGTGTCTAAAAATTTATTTTAAATAATTACTAGCTCTAAACGGCAATAACATGTTTAATTTAAATGGAACACCCTGTATATTATATGAGAATCAGATGCACAAGTTAATTGTGTATCAAATTGTATTATACCATTTTTTACCTATCTCTTCAAGTTTCCGTAGAAAATGCATTTTCTTGTAATTTAGAACTCATTTATCAATATACCCATGGAATACTGACATTTTAGATTATTTTTAAAGATGTACCAAATTTTTAAAGAGTACAGATACTAATATTGTCGATATAGTTTGTTTGTATCGTTAATAAATAAAAAAAAACTGTTTAAATATTTGTTAAAAAGGACCAATTAATATGATTCCAGTATTCAAACTACATTAATTGACTGTTTGCGTTGATTAATAATAATTGCTCCAAATACTAAAAAACTGAATTATGTATGTGTATTAGACAGTGTGGTAAAAAGTAACACATTAAAAATGATATTTAATTTTTTGACAAATGCTTATTTATAACAACAGAGACGTTCATTTTCATAACTTATTATTATATTAATTTCTGATTCAAATCCACATTTATTTATTATTAACGAACACAATTAAGTATGTAGTTAATTAGTATTTGCGCGGAAATACTGGTGGTATATTCTTTTTGCATACAAATGGGCTAGTAATATTATCGTTTTACTAAAAACGATAATATTACTAGCCTGTACATTTTGTACATTTGTTGTTTTAAAAACAATTTAAAATGTCAATATACCATGGGTATATTGATAAATGAGGTCTAAATTAGAAGAAAATGCATTTTCTACAAAAACTTGAAGGAATAGGTAAGAAGTGGTATAATACAATTTGATAGACAATTAAATTGTGCATCTGATTCTCATAAAATATACAGGGTGTTCTATTTAAAGTAAATAACTTATTGCCGTTTAAAGATAGTAATTATTTAAAATAAATTTTTAGACACTCTGTATAAGGTAATATAATTTTTATTATTACAACACAATAACTGATCAATAGATAAACTTCAGTAAATATTTAGTATTAAAAACTTTGATATCGTCGGAGAAATGAAGCCTTAAAATTTATACTGCAATTTCGCAAAATTGAAAATATTTCAAAAACGGTAAGGTTTAAGTGCAATAAACCTTAATCAAACTTACTCTTATTTTAATCGTAGAAACTAAAAATGCAATAATATACAGGGTGTTCTATTTAAAAAAATACAACTTTGATATTTTTTATTTATTTGGGATACTCTGTATCTTGTAAAAATATGTTTAAATTGTAGCTCTAATAGTCCTTCAACGAACCCAAAACTTACAATTTGTAAAAATCTAATCGTTTAGCTACAATACTCCGTGTCGTATGTGGTGAACAACCCTGTATACGATTATTTATTTATTATACGATAAATAAATAAATCAAAAAATGAAAATCTAAAAATAATACTGCCATAGAAAGGCGTTTCGATTTTTAGGACTTTCGATATTCTTTTAATTTTTTTCTCAGGCAGTATGGACACCGTGTATTTACCCAAAAAAAGTATAAACGTGGTTAGGAATTTTAAAACAAGCAAAAATGTTTTATGAGGAATGCATTTTTCTTGGAAAATTAGTAAAAAAAATCTTGTAAAATACATACTGAATATTGTTAGTGGGTTCAATGAAATCAAGTCATATTTTTTAATTAATTTACTATTAATTAAAAAATATTACTATTAATTAGCATCATTTATGATGGGTTGATTTCTAGAAAAAAAAGTAATGTCTATTTCGCCACCGTGAGAGAGATATATTTTTTATTTCCTGAATTTTTCTTTTGCTGCTATTGTATTACATACTCGTTTTTTATATTTATTATTTCATATAAATTTAAGGTTTATGAGCATATTCCTTACAACTAGAAAATAAATATTATATTTCAAATATTATTACAAAGTCGCTTTGACGTTAAACAATAATATTGTTCGCCCGACTTTCATTTGGAAAGGCATTTTCATAAGAGGCATTGTTTACGGCGTTGCATACTATTTTAGTATAGCGCAACAAAACAAATATATTATACGGACTTCATACAAAGAACGATATTAAAATTACATATATCAAAACTCCGTTTCAAAAACCTTGTTTCATTATTTAAGATATAATATATAGTATATTCTGGCTAATGTCGTTTTATATTCCAATATACATTTATTATTAGACATGCAATTTTATTTTCGGTATTTGCAAATTTGTTTTATTTTATACTTATTATAATATACAGGGTTTTGCATACAATCCTCTTATCGTGTATCTATGATATAATATACAAATTTAAACATTTTAAACTATAATAACCCCGAGGCGATTTTGAATTTAAAATATTTTCTATTTTCTAGAATTTCCGGCTTAAGGTTGATTCTTACCTTCCATATCAGCTACCTTTCGTTTCCCTTCCGTTTACATAAAATATTATATTGTAAATGAATAGGACAATGCACACTATCCGTTCCGTTTCCCTTTCGTTCCATATCCTTTCCTTCCATGCATTTTTTTGGCGGACGGACTGAAGCGTATCGGAAACAACGTTTCAAGTTCTTACATTTGTACCAGCTCTGTGAAAATTTTGCTGTTATTCTGATATTTATTCTTTCACCTCTTAATTAAATTTATTACCTTTTAAAAGATACAAATTTTTAAAATAAAACTTTCGT